TAGAAAGATATGAATTTTTTTTCTAATACTGACAGAACAATAAAAAACTGTAAAGCGGAAAACCTTCCTATTAAAATGAAGAACTCATTTTTGCAAAGAATTGTCAAAATATTTTGAACAACCTATTTTACACAGTACAAAGTTCAATAAAATTGTATATTTTTTTTACCCACCCTATAATGACCATATGGAAAATAAACTGTTTAATAGAACTTCTTATTCATTGAACTCGATCCAATTTAGCGAAAACGATTTAAAAAATCGCAAATTTGAAAAAATTATTTTTTCCAAAATAACTAAAAAAATTTACAACCGATGACAAAATTTTAAATAAGAAAATTAGAGATTTTAAAAAGATCTATCGAATCATTTTTAATAATTATCAATTACTTTATTCCTTCTCGAAATTTATCGAAAAAACCGTAAAAAATTTTCTCTTTTCCCTTCTTCTATAACTCCTTTACATCTACATTCCCGTACTCGCTATGTTCTGTTACAATATCTACCAACAAGCCAAAAAAGTAAATTGTTTAAAAATAGAAAATTATTAAAATTTGATTCCAATTATAACAATTTTTTTAAAAAAGAGATTCTCTCGAAAATAGACTAAATGTTATCTGCAAATAGCCTTACAGTAACACTTTTCAGTTTATTTTCTTCATAAAAAATCACAGTATGATGCTGTTACAAAATGTAAACAATTTTATTAATTTTAATAATCAAATAATAACTGAAAATGTTGAACTTTTTTTGGGAATTTTTTTAAAATGACTATTTCAATTTTTGTTTTATGAAAATAACTTAAAAAAATTTACAACTGATATTTTTTGACACAATAAAAATAATTTATTTTTCTACGATGATACAAAAGTATTCTGAAGACCAAATAATTTTTTTCTTAAAAAAAAATGTTACCAACACACTTAACATTTTACAGCCATACCCTTAACAAAAATGAATTTCATGTACTTCTATTTAAACAAAACTAAATAATAAAATACATTTTAAAATAAAAAAATTGTCAACTTCAAAAAATCGTATAAAAAAAATTAATTTTTTTATTCATGAAATTATATCGGCACTTTCTTTAAATATCTTTGTTATTTAAAAAAAACATAGCCAAATAAAGTGGAACTTTTTCAAAAATTGTTTTGATCCTTAAAATTAATCAATTAAACATTTTTCAACCGCATGATACTATAACTCTTTCCAAACAATATAAAGCAAATAATGTTCACTGTAGGACTATATTCACTAAAACAAATTAACCAATTTTCGAAGTCTTTTTTTTTTTCAAAATATCAATACATCTCAAAAAATTAATATTTTTCTAATTTTGAAAAATGAACTTTTTTCAATTGTCACACACAATACTTACAGTAAATAGCAAATATAGAATCATAAATATAAACAAATTATAAAAGAGAAATCAAAAAATTTTGAATGGTTTTTTTAATATATATCAAAAAGTAACATAACAATCAATACTTAAAAAAAAAAAAATAGACAGATCTTTTTCAAAACCTACACCTTTCTCATGAAAAAAATTTCGATGGGTGGAACATTTTATTTATTATCTTTAAAATACCATTTCTTTTCATCTTTCCAATTTTTTACAACCATATTCGCCATTTTAAATCGACTTTAAAAAACAAAAAACTCGATTCAAAACTATATCTTCTCTACAATCATATTTTTTTCATCCAAACATTAATTTATGCAAATTTAACATTAATCCGTGACAAAATACTTAAACTCATAGCCACTATTTGCATTTAACGACATGCAGAAACAACTAATAATTCAAAACATTTGTACATAAAGTTTTTTCCAATATGTGTCATGCAAACTTTCTTAAATAGAAATGTACATATACTGGATGTAACGTCAAGATTGGAAATAAATTATACGGTGGACTTTTTGATTTAAAAAATACAGTTTTCTCATATCAAGTTATGTTATACGAGTTTTATTTTCCAAGCTACAGAGCAGTAAAATATTTAAAACAATTTACTTTTTCTCCAATAACTTTCAAACATTATAAAATAATGGAACGAAATTTTATCCTTAACTTAATTTCATAATCCCCTAATATGAAAAAAATTGACTTTATAAGTTACTCAGTGACGTGGATACAAATTGTTCCGTAAGATTTTTCGAAGAAAAATTTGGTACGCTACTACTAAAAACATTCTTTTAATATTTTTTTATTTTAAACAAAATTACCCTCTTATGTTTTATTCCCAGCTCTTATATTTTTTCCATAAATAAAACTTTTGTAAATACCATTTTTCCCACTACTAACACCGAAAAAGGAAAATAACAAAAACATTATGAAATCTGCTTTAACTCAACTCCCGAACATGGTTATATAGACTTTGGAAACAACTATTAATTTTTTTAAATAAAAATTCCACCATCTAATTTATTCCCAACCCTATATACACTACATTCCATGCCAAATCAGACATATTAAAAATAACAAATTTTCTTTTTCCTTTATTTTTAAATATTTTTTTGTACCACCCTAAACAATTTTTCAAATAAATTTTAATGTTTTTCATTACTTTTCAAAATTATTTAAAATTTTCAAAATCAAACCTTTTTAACCATAACTTTATTAGTAATAATCCAAATAAAATTTTACTTTTATTGAAATATTTCTATTTCGATAACCTCTCCAAATAATAATTCAACAAAATTATTAACTGTTTTTCATTAAAATAATTCACTTTAAATTTTCAAAATGTATTTTTAAAGATGCATGTCTCTTTAAATTTTTGTGAACATTTTTTATTTGAAAGTGCTATTGTCTTAATAACTTTTAAAACAGATGCAGTCATCGGCCTTCCATTACTTTTATTTTGATATTTCAATATTAAAAATTATACTTATGTTCTCTATAACCCATTATAAATACCGATTTTCATTTGCTTTTTTAATTATTTCAAATAAATTTTAATACTTCTTAATTATTAATTGATTTTTAAAATCAATTAATCAATAACTACAACACAAAAATTTCATTTCATCATTCCAAACAACAATGAAAATTTCTTACATAAATACTCTAATTTACAAACTAATATTTTATTCCTTACAATATTTCAATGACATTTTAAATTTGTTTAACTACATTGTAACGCAAATCAATTTTTTTTCATCTAAATCGTATCTTAAATGAAAATTGAACACCAATATTCATATGACTTAATAGAATTGATAAAAAATTTTTAAAATACTTTCGAAATAAGGTCGAAAATAAATAAAAATTTTTGTTATAATTTTTTATAAATAGACAACATTTACTTATTGATTTTAAACATCACTTAATGATAAAACAATATTACAATAAATTTTAAATTTATTAAAATGAGTATACAATGACATAAATCGGTTCTTCTAATCATTTATTGAGAAAAAATATTTATTCTAAATTTTCAAAATTTTAAACAAAATTTATAATTATGAAAGGCCCACAACCGAACCGATCCTAAACGTCATTTAAACAATAATAATTTAAAATAAAATATTTTCACAAACATCAAAAAACACTGAAATTTTCGATGTAAAATTTCAAACTCAAAAATCTGATCCAAAAACACCTAATATCTTTTTTCAAATTTTAGCTATAAAAACCATCTAAAAACGAAAATTTTTTTAAAAAGAAAACTAATTTGAACCATTATTAAGAAAGTTATAACCAGAAAACCATAATACTTTTTTTCAAAATTTTATATATTTTCAACAAGCAATAAAAATATTATCACAGTTTGCCAAAAAAGATATTTTGAATGATACTGAAAAATATTAAAATATTAAGGATATCAAAAATATAAATTTTTCAAACCATCCAATCTAACATAGACTACCCAATTCATGCTTGAAAATCATTCAACTTCATCATTTAAAATTTCTCAATTAGACTATATTTATAATTATTTTTTAAATTAACTCCTTTTCACCATTTTCAATCAATTTAAAAAATTTCATATACCATATTTTTACCCTACCATTCATTTCCTAATTAAAACTGCATAATGATTGAACTGATATAAAATTTCAAACTTACACGCATGCTCTAATCGAATTATGAGTTTTCTGCGAAAAAAGAAAAATCAAGGACTAAAATTTTAAAATGAATCCTAAATAAAAGAATTTCTCTATTTGATCAATTTCGACAACGAAAATTCGATCTACAATATTTCAAAATTTTATTCGAAGTTAAAAATACGATTCCGTATGGCGATTTTCACATCTTCCCTTCACCGCCAAACAAAATTTACAACAAAATAATTATAAATTTTTTAATTTTCAATTTTAATTTAATAAATCTAAATTTATTATAAAGACACCTACACACTTCAAAACACAGCCCACTTAAACAATTATTTTTAACTTGACTTGTTGAAATCATGAAATTATTAATTAACAAATTTTTTAACTTTTATAAACTTCTACAACCCAACCTTAATTGCTACGTTCAAATCCACAAAACATTAATCAATTAACAGTTACATTACTTTAAAAAACGTCATATTAATATTTTTTTTCCAACTCAGCCATTTTCCTTCAACTATCTAAATTACACAATTAATTGTTAATGCTACAAAAACATTATTTTCTATAAAAACCACAGCACGAAACCATATTTTTAAAATCAAATTAAAAATATTAATCATAAAGCTACAATTCCACAAATCGAAACTATCTTCATTATTTTTTTTTTATAGCCAACACACCCAAACTCCCCTTCTTTCTCTTGATTTTTTATTTCTAAATATAGCTATTTCTCATTACGCATTAATTAAAAAACTTTTTTCTCAGAATTTAATTCTAATTCCAATGTACTCACACCCATATTTTTCGAATTACATTCACTATTTTTCGCAACAACTCATAACTCCACTAGAACAGCACCTACCGATACAATCGTTACAATTCAACCCAAAATTTCAAAATTATACAATACACATACAAATTAAATAAAAATCACTTACTTTATATTCGCTCATCTCGCACTCTCATCTGGACTTCCATGTACAAAACTTGTGATAACAACGACGCCTCATCTAATCACAATTCACTGAACATCCTACAACAAAAATACAAACTAATGTACACTATATTTTCATGTCTTTTGTCAATTTTTTCTTAAATTAACACTAATAATAAATCCACGTATAACGCAAACCAACACCACGTCCACGTTTGACAACAAATAAATTGAAATAAATATATAACAATATATGTATACAAATAAACTCCACCGTACCAACCCGTACCAAGATACCGAAAAAACTAACATCATTAAAATCCTAACGTCTCCAATCAATGCGTATAAACCATACCACATAGTGGGGAAACGATCGTGACTGGTTAAAAACAACTCTTGGGGCGTGGCCGATCATCGGACACTTTCGGAACCGCCCGCCAAATGCCGAATACTTCCACACCCTTCCCAACATTCACATCCGCAACGTAATCAGTTCCAGTTCTACCTCAGTTAATACAAGTACGGTCGTCGCGCAATTAACCCGTCTTAATCACCGCAGTTATTAGTTTTCTATAAAGTCTACTTCGTAACTTAAAATATTTCTACCATTTCCGGATCCTTAAATCAAAGTGTCTTGCGCAACTAAGTGTAAACCGATCCAACGATTTTTATACACAAACACCTACGTATTAACTAATATCAACAATTACTTCGCTTAACAAATACAAAGCAACGCTTCGACTAAAAAGAATTCATAAATTACAACCATTCGAAGCTGAATATTAATAAATAAATATATACATTGTCTTTTAATCTCGCTACGTTCCTACCTTACTCGATCCCTATTATAAGTGAGTGCTCCGGTATTTCAAAAAGATTACCAAAAGGTAAACCACACCAAATCAGCGTACACAGATTAGAAGCATCCGAGACTACAAAAAGTAAGTACAAGTATTTTTTGCTTACCTTATAACCCCCTCCACGCTTTCAGCCAAATTACCGACACAACGAAATTTTTTCTGTTTTTTCCTTCAGCTTTACAACTAATATTTTTCTTAGAACCCCCTGACGTTGTAGACAGCCGTTTATTAAATTTATTTCATCTTAAATGGTAATTTTTTATGCATAATTTTAAATTTTTTATATTTCTTTTTACTAACCGTAATTTGGCCAATTTACACTGTTAATTCATTTTGCTAACATCTTAATACAAAAAATTAATTTGTTAATTTTTCAACACTTTTAAATCAACATTACACTATTCAATGAAAACCATACGATATGTCAAAATTAAAATTAATTCATGAACGTTCATAAATTTTTCTTTCTTAAAACCGTTTCAAAAATAACATCCTTCTATATAAAAACAATTAAAATTTTCTAAATATTTCACATTATAATTCGATTTTATGACGCTGTCTCTTCAACTTTAAAACTTATTTCAAAATGTTCCATTTCAAACTACAAAATTAAAAACATATTTATTTTGTACTCCCTAACCGCCCCCATTTCATAATTTCCCCATAAATATTTTCAATTTTTATTTTTTTCTATTACTAATTTAACCGTAAATAACTTTTTCTTCTTCTCATGCCTATCTAATTTTATAATATTTTTCAAGTACAAAACCACTTTCACATCAACTTACAAATCCATCACAAATTATAAAATCATTAATATTTATAAGTATCAAACATATAATATTTTCTGATCAAACACATATACCCATTTTTTTCACTTCATCTTATATTTTCGCCAAAAATATCCAACTATCAACAAATTTTATAAAACATAATAAAAATTCCCTAATCAAACAACGCCACACACCTCTAAACATAAAAATAATAAATATGTATATAAAGGATGTAACATTCAGCTTGGAAATAAATAAAAAATAAATGTTTTACTTGAAAATTTAAATTTTTATCATACAAATCTTTACTCTACCAGTTTTCTTTTCCAAACTAGAGAACGCTAAATAATTTCAAAATGTTTTATATTTAATTTTCAATGCCTCTTACCATTTTCGATGGCTGACCCACAACTTCCCTAATAATGTTTTCATTACTTTTGTTTTGCTATATTTACAATGCGAAATACGCCACTTATTAAAGCTTTCTTTTATGAAAAAATTACAAAAGCTACATATAAAACGTAATAAAATAATTTTATTTAAAATTAAAAGTAGATTATATAAAAATAATAAAATAATCCGATAACGTCCCACAATTTTCTTGAAAAAACCTTATAGTACAATCCATACACACGCCACCATGTAACTCACAGTAAATATCTTTTCTGTTAATAAAGAATTATGAAATTAAACTCAGAATAAAATTTCCTTCCATTATCTTACAATGTTTAAAAATTATTGAAGAACAACTAAATTTTTTACACCCTGTAGCTTAAGAAAAAAAGCCCGCACAGTAAAAATTAAAATGACAAAAATAATTTTTTTTTAAACCAAAATTTCCAATGTTCAATTTGTTCCCAACCTTTACGTTACACCCACTATATCTAAATATTTTTTACATTTATCTATTCACAAATCACAACTTTTCACGCATGTTCTTCATATTTTTCTACCAAACTAACTTAAACCCTATATCTATCATCCCACACCCCACTAAATACCTAAGTAAAAGTCACAACCTTCATTATCCGCCACTACAAAACCATTTCCATAATACCCTACACTAATTTTTTTCTTTCATCTTTTATGTCCCTAAAACCCATACTCCCTTTAACTTTTTTTTCATTACCCAATCATTTCTACCACAATTATCCCAATACTCGTCTAAAACCAATAAATCCCTCCTATTAAAAAAAATTAAATAAAAAATTATTATTCAATGTCAGATACGCATTTTACCATTATTTGTGCCATACATCATATACCTAAAATGCCTAAAATGACATCATTAACATATTTAATACCCTACTTTAAAATACGTCCTGGTACCGAATAGTACCATCGCCCTTCCAACACATACCGCATTCCGACAAATTATCCAGCCCTAAAAAACCAATTTTATTCCGTGTTTATGCATGCACACGTGCGTCCGACCACACATGTACATTCCACAAGACCAGATATTCCATGACATCTTTCCAAATACTAGCAAACTTTACAATATTTATTTAATTTCATAATATCAAAGATTTTTATTTACACAACTCTCTATAACACATTACATTTATGATGTACACCCTTAATTTTGAATGACCAACTTTTATTAAAATTAAGTTTTTTTCATTACCTACAAAATACAGTAGATATATTTTCTCTTATACACCATATATTTTAAATTTTCAACATACCCTATTCCACAAAATTTAAATTCATCATAATAATAACTATTTTGTAAATAATAAATAAATTGCTAAAAATAAAAAATTTCGTATTTGCAACTTTTTCATCATTTCTAATAATTAAAATCTAATTTCCCTTAATTTCCGAAAAAAATTAGAATCTTATAAAAAAACATTCATTGCCAAACTTGTAGATAATAAAATGATATACAAGTTTCGTATTTACAATTTTTTCACAAACTCTAAATTTAGTAAAATAATTCAAATATCCAAATATTTGATTTTTAATTTTTTTCTAAAACAAAGATATAAATTTTTTCAAAAATTTAAATAAAGACTATTCTATTTATTTCCCAAACACACTATAATTTTTTTAATTTGGAATTTTTCTTTTTTCACCCGTTTTTCCTTCATTTCGAAATAAGACCCTAATTTCCAATGGAAAATTTTCACGTCCAAATTTTTACTTATTTACATAAAATCAGTAAATCTTTGCTTCGTTAAAATGTCTACTTTCTAATAATTTAACAAATTATACAATTCCATAATAAATTTTCTCTAATTATGCAAAAAAACGAAACAGTAGAATCCAAATATTATTCTCTCATCTTATCCTACAATTTTGATATAACTTAAAATTTACACTTCATTACTCAAAAAATATTTTTAAATTTCTTTATATTTTACCAATATATAATTTTTATTTTTACCATAATAACATAAAATTTTTCGTTTTTCGAATTGTTAAAATGCAAATTTTAATAAGCAACTGATGATTGTAAATTTTGATCAAATGAAAATTTTCCAATTCAAATTTTTTTTGTTTCTTCACATTTACTGAAAAAACACCATAGTGATGTATATTTTTTTTTACATCATCAAACAGTAAAAATTTCAACGAAAAAAAAACCACCCACACTGTGGGAAATATTATACAATATTCTCCCCACTCCCCAACCTTCATCCTCTCGTCATAATTTTTTTTTATAATCATTAAAATCCGAATTTCCATTTTCCGCTGACTTTTTTTCGAAAATTCCTTTTTTTTTTATTCATCGGCAACACCCCTTATCACTTAATATTTCAGATATTTTTTCTTCAAAACACTAACTCCAAATTTATCAAAAGTCATAATATTCAATTTTTTTTAATAACAAACACCTTTTCCACATTTTTTTCTACAACTTAACTTCAAATATTCAAAAATTTTTTATTCAACATTAACGTTGAAAGCATTAAAATATTCCAAACAACTTTTTTTCAAAAAATAAATCAGTGGAATATAAAAATTCAAATTACCAACAAAAAATAAAAAACACGACTCCACGATGAAAATTAACGAATAGCTAATATTTTTTACAATCCTTCCCAATACATTTAAAAAAAAATATTTTCACTTGACAATTTTCGATTGAAAATGAAGATGGTTTTTCCTTTTAAATAAAAATAAAATAAAATAATATTTGTAATGAAACAAATTACAACATATTTGGAACATAAATTGATTAATTTTCACGAAATTTCGTTGACAATATTATTTTTTATTAAAGATTAATTTAAAAAACTAATATCTTCATTATTTTAATTTTTCACATAAATTTGAAGATTATATAAAAATTATATTACTAAAAAAGTTATAAATATTTTTATTGCCTACAACTTTGCCATTTAACTTTTTCCCATAAAATTTTTCCAAAAATATAGAAATACTGTTTTTTACCCTTTAAAACTCACCCCCTTCCCAACCTCACATCCCCCATTAGTACATTAATTTTCCTCTCATTTCCATTATTTTCTATTTTCCAAAACATTTCATTCTACTATAATTTTTCTTTAACTACAAAATTATCGACCCCGACCTATAACAGCAACGCATAAAAAATACAAACAAATCCAACTTCCATTAAATTACAAATTTCAATATTAAAATGGAAACAAAATTAACTTTCCCAAATTACAAATT